TTCTTAAATAGTTGCTTCTGGTCATTTTGAAGTAATTTTCTCCATTGGGTTGTTTGACCAATCATTCACTAGCAAATTGATTTGAAAGTTGGTGAAAAACTAAGAATTGATAACTGTATAGTTGTTTCTGGTTTGAATTGTAAAAACTGTGTAGATTGAGGTATTTGTGTTGATATGACAGCCAAGTTTATAACAGCTGTATACTAACTACTATTATTGTGTATTGGTGTGTAATATTTACATAACCAGTACTGTAATGTTACCTTAGACACATCTAACGTAAGACATGATGAAACATTTTGCTCCGAAATCATTGTCAAAAATTTAGTGTTAACCTGAAAATGTTCAGTTAACTTCAGAATTCATAATCAGTGGCATTCAGGTCCCAGAATTTTACATGTGATTTGTAATTATTTGATTCTTCTTAAATACAATTGATTTTGCAAACATCTTACATGGTTATTAAATGATGTATATATCTGATACTGAATACTTAAAGAGATTGTAAGGTTTTCTAAATTGTTTATGCGTATCGGGGACAATGATAGCAACAATTTGCGCCATTTCAATTTTCAATCAGATGTCCACAGATGTTTGATTTAAAATTGGAATGGTGCAAATTGATGCTATCAGTGTCCCCGATACGCATAAACAATTTAGAAAACCTCTTTATAATCCCTTTGAACAGACAAATCTTGCAAGATATGTTTCATCTTTTATAAGCCCTCTGTATTCAATGTAAGTAAATACCGTACATATCTTAATTTCTGACATAACAGTGAGACTATATATATATACATTTTACTATTGTTATATTTATATAATAAAACTAGGTGATGACTGTAGTTTTTATCAGACAAAAATGTATTGTTCTCATCATGCATACAACTCCCAGGACTGCTCAACACAATTGTTAAGAAATTTTTATGTTCCATTATTACAATGTCTTTGGATTGTTAGATGATGTAAATAGAAAGAGCATAGTAACGATGGAAATGTATTATATATATAATGGAGTTTCCATTTTTCCATCTAATGAATACAAGATGCACAATGTTTTCTGATCCATCTGGTATGGATCTCATTTCATGCTGATATGTCTGTAATGTAATGAATGTTTCGGAAACAAATCTTATCTTCATCAGAACAGTTAGTTGTAGGCATAGGTTATCTTTCAAAATTGATATGAGCAAAGTAAGAAGACTCATGGAACAGGAGTTACAACAATCAGTCAATAACAAGAATATTCTTGACTTTTATTTAATTGACAAGAGTTCTTGCTGCCTACACATGTTACATATACAAAATCCTCACAAATACAGTTGCTTTTGGAAATGGAACACATTTTTCTTTTATCTCAGGAATATTAAATTTCTAATGTTTTCTGCTCCATGTTAGAGTACTTCTTAATTGAGGTTTATTTACCTGATGTCTTAATTCAGTCTTACTGGCATCATGGGAAGAAATAAATGAGCACAAACTTGAAAGAAAAATCATAATCACATCATTCTTCTTGATAGAAAACATTAGAAAAGTTAAAAAGAGCCAAGATAAATAAGATAAATAGTTATTTCTATATCTATATTGAATGGTAGTTTATCAATGAAGAGACCAACAGAAACTAACCAACCTTGATAAATTACAGTAGACCATTTATACTAACGAATGTATTACTAATTACTGTAAACTATTACTGAGTGCTAATACATATACATAAAAAACTTTGAATATTAGTTCCTATAAAATGAATTAGCCCACATGGTGCAGAAAAGAAGGACGTAAAACTCCATTCATTTCATTTCATGTCATTTTCCAATGAAATGAAATGAATATATTTTCTAGAACAGGACAAAAATGCCTGGGATGAACTCTGACGAACTGCACCGCTATCTTTGAGAGATGCAGTTAGTAAGATAGGAACTCAAAGACCCAACCATAGTATTGTGGATGCAAAGCTCCTTACCAGACACTGCAAGAAGTGTGATAGTAGTTTTTTTTCCCCAAATAATGTTACATGTGCATACTGTTCATATTTGTTGTCTGGTTTTACTATTTAGATCTGAATCTATGTCTTGCATCTGTGGTATGAAGTGTTAGTAAAACTATCTGATCATGTCAGAATACCATCTGAGCCACTTGATATAGCAATATGAATCTACTGGTGGTGATAGTAACTTCATTCCTCTCTATTAAATAGAAACCATGGGATATAAAAATATCTTGAGAAATAGTTATATTGCTAATATAAATAATATCAGAATCAAACCAGATGGTTGGTAGAAATATGGAATTAATAGTTGACTTCTGACCAGTACAAGTATTTACTTCCTCCATTACTGAAGAGCATAAAATGATATGACAAACTAATAACAGATACAAGTGGTTGTTGAGATTTATTATGGTTACCAGAAATCTGATCACATCTGATACTTTTAATGGAGGTTTCTTGCTTTGTGTTTGGTTGCCAGTTTAAAATGGAAATGGAGTTTTACTTCCTACTTTTCTGCATTTGATATCTTTTCAAGTTAATTTCATATTCAGTCTGGAAAGTTTATGTTTGAGTTGACTGCTTTACAACAATTGTACTGTTTTAGATATACGTCACTTAACATTTTTTCAAATGTCATCTCTTAAAATTCTCTCATGTATGAGAGTTGAAGGTGAACACCTAATGTAACTTTACAGACATATCTTTACCATTAGACTTGCTCATCAGAGACAAGTTACATACAGCTCTGTTTGTCAGGCATGGTGAAATGTGTGAGAATACTGAACTATCTATACGTTGGAAGATGTTAAGAAGACATGGAGTAATTGACATAGGTGACCCAACAAATATTTTGGTGACATACCCTACTCCAACTGTTTCAAAATTCTTTCTCTTGTAAACCATTAAACCTCAATATTTGTTACATTGGAATAAACTTTGAACAGGTTCAGTATATGTATTTGCAAGTATCTGGTTTCTTATGTTTTTACATGAAAATAACTATCTGATTTTTCTGACATTTGAATGTAACCACAGACAACAAATTTCCAGACATTTTTTTAGTAATAATTTGAATTTCTAGAAGTAATCATGTTGTTGCTGCAAGTCAGTTTCTGGTAAAACTGTGTACTAAGGCCTATTATTGTTATTAGACCAATATTCAATAACAACCAGTTATATAACATTAACAAGATAAATACTATATCATGTAATTGTATTACACTGGGTGGCATAGAATACTACTACAAATTACAGTCTTGACTAATTATTGGTTATTTGTAGAAGGGAATATTACATCTGTTACAAGATAATGTTTGTGTATTTTTAGTGTATTTTTGCCATCATATAGGGACAATAATTCTATAAAATAATGTGCTTAGTAGATTTTTGAAAACTTGCCAACGTAGATAAAGGTTGATTTGGCTCTGTAGAAATAAAGTGATGTTAACTGTTTAAGGTTTTTTAGGTTGCACAGTTTTTCAAACATCTCAAAAGACCTTGTAATGCTTATGTTTATTATTCCTATTCATTAAGGAACACCTTTGGTGTGATGGTTGTCTAATAGTGTACAAAAAACTGGAAATCAGCATGCTGTGTGGTTGAATTATGTTATAGAGTAATTTGATACAAGATCAATTTCTCATTGTATAATATTTCTTTTCCACGCTAGCAATATATTACTTCAATGTAATTTAATAGCGTGACAAAAGATTTCTATAATTGATGAAAAAAAAGTTTTTTTATTTGAAAAGAATAGGCGTTAACATTCCGATCATATCTCTGTGAATTATTAACTATTCAGAATTTCATTCGCAGGAATAACACTGGGAAATAAATTGGAATTGGTTAATGACAAAATCTGATTCTGAAGAAAATATCTTAAAGCTTATTGATTTCATTCCAGATTCAAGTTTATCTGATTTAAAAAGATATGTAAAAATCTGCTTCTTGAAGATATCAAATAAAAAACCTGAAATTAATTGAAAGAGTAAACTGGGTTTAATGGGTTTATATGGTTTTATAGAAAGCAATCATTCCATTCCATTGATGAAAAGACATTGACTTTTAAAACCTTAATGATGTAAAGATTTCAGGTCAGCAAGCAGAAATTGTGTAACTGAAATGGGTGTCAGAATTACAAGCAGATGTGAACTTCAGCCATATTGATTTTATAAAAACAATTATCTGCATTACATGGACAGCTCTTAAGACTTGTTGATGTGAAGATTTTCTGGTTGGAAACTGGCAGACACTATTAATTCTTGAAGGTTTTATGTCATTCTGACCTGTTGTTGTTGGAATTAGACAAGAAAATCAGACTTGGACTAGAGTCTGGAATAGACTGATACCAATTGTTGGCAATTAGTGTAACAATATACTGGCAGTGAGAATAAATTCTATTGTTAAAGGTATTTTATATTGATTATTTATTAAACTCTAGTCAATTATCTCAGTAATTGATTTCCTACTTTGTCAAGATAAAAACCAGATTGTGAATAATATCCTATTTTGTGACATGATACTTTTTTTCAAATGAACTTCCTTATAAAATGAAATCACGTATATCCTGCTGATGAAATTTTGGTTGTTTTGTTGTCACTTTGACTTGATTTAATGGATAGCAAGCGTCTACTGGTATATATTTTTTTGATTCAGTTTGTGCCAATGACTGCTCATTTCTACATTGCATGCCAAAAATTTCCAAATATTCTTGAATAATTGTCAGTTTACATCACTAGATGAATAAAGAAACCAATGATTTTTCATATATATTTGATTGTAGTATAGGTAGAACTACTGGAATTCAGTCTGATTTAATGGATTTAGAATATCAAGTTCAGATCCTGGTGGTCTCAATTTGACCCACTTAATACAGCCAGCCACTTACAAATGACCACCATCTGTGTAGGTTATTTGAAATTCAAGATGGCTAGTTTTATTTTATCAGTATATTGGTGTTTGTTTGATAAATTAGGAAACAATTTACACTGTTTAAATCTTGATGGTACATATGGCAGCCATATTTGTTGTTAAGGGTCAAGATCAAAAGGTAGGGCTGTCATGATACTTGACATGAGTATGTTAAAGTGATCAAGGGAATACACAATGATCAGTGGGTCGACAGCTTGGTCTTGTTTGTCACTGAAGGAACATTTTGTTAATGAAACAGTGACCCATCGAAAGGCCTGAACAGTAGTAGTTTTAGATTGTATGTAGAGTATAGTAACCTTTCTGAACAGTATGTCATTGATTTTCTGAACTGACATGAACCTTCTGAACAGTGTAATGAACCATCTGAATAGATGTATAGAGACCATGTAGTGAACTGTAATGAACTTTCTAAACAGAAGTAAAAAAGATCAGTGATGAACCTTTTGATTAGATGCAAACAAACAGTGTAATGAACCTTCTGAACAGAAGTAAATGAAATTTAAAACCAGTGAAATGAACTGTTTGAACTGAACTGAATAAGAAATGTAATGAACTGTTTTTGAACAGAACTGAATAAGAAATGTAATGAACTGTTTGAACAGAACTGAATAAGAAATGTAATGAACTGTTTGAACAGAACTGAATAAGAACTGTATTGAACCATCTGAACTGAAATGAAATTTATAACCTCTGTAATAAACTTTCAGAACAAACGCGATTAACCTGCTGAACCACGATAGACAACTTTTAATTGAGAGTTTAAAGCTTAACAGCATGATTCATGGACACTTAATAAAGTTCCTGAAATGAAAACAATGTACCTGATTCTTTTTAAAACACTTGGCAATCTCCTAGATATCAGAGTAAGAATTTAAAATGATAAATTGTGTAGTAGTTGTGACAAGAATATTATAGTTACCTGATGACCTAAATTGTAATGACATTGTTATAATAAGACAAGAAAGTGAAGTAGATATTCAGGTGAAAGTTGATAAATTGTCTCCTGTTTATAATCTGGCGTTTTTATGAAAGGTTACCAATGTAGGGATAACTTAATATAAGATAGTGATTAAAAAAAGGAGTGGATAAACTATTTGTGACATTACTGTCAAGTTTGTCAAATATTCAGAAGGAAGTGTAACAATGGAGAGTGAAGCTTTATTTCGTATTTTGTAAGGTAAATTTGGAAAATTTTATGCATCAATTTTATGTCCATTTTACTCCATTATTAAGTTCTAGAAAGTTTGACCCAAATTCATGTACAATCTTATGCTTTAAGGATAGATTAGGTGAGTTGATACTGTTTATAAATTTTTTAGGTTGAAATTCCTCATGAATATAAAAACAATTGACACTGTATTTTCATCCGTTAAAAACCAGAGAAATTTTTTTACGGAGATGTCACATGGAGAACACAGCATATTTAACAGTTTTCTTATAGAATTTCTTTAAATAATAGGAAATTAAGTTAACATGTCTCTGTTTGATGTTGCCATTATTGTCATTTTCTTGTGTAGTTTTTATCTCATCTCTGTCAATAACCATACAAGTTAATGTTAGAATTAGATCATGTCGTGAGAAGTCTCATACTTGCTATTTGATCCAATATTTTTTGTGAAGCCATATTAAGTTAAGCGTTTAAAATGGTTTTTAAGTCTTAATTGATACCATTGACAAGTTCATGAATTCTTTATTGTTCAGACTTTAGTATGTTTAAGATTTGTTGAATGATTGTTAATAGTCAAAGATGGGTAATGTCACAGACCAGACATAAATTACTATTCTAATGACATATAACTCACACTCATATCCACTAACAGTACTAAAATAGATTCTGAAATTATAGCAGGAAGATACTTATATGAGTTATATAGGAAGAGACAGTGACCTTATTTCGTTATGTATATTGTTACTTGTCAGTTAAGGTTGCCTTTTAAACAACTTTTAAACTGTTACTCGGGTAATTTAAGGTAAAATACTTCACATTTGAAAACATGAACAGACTTGGTAGAAAAACTTTTAAGTATCTCCTGCTGGTAAATCACTTTTTCTTTACAAATACCAAGGTATATTATTAATTCATTTCTCAACTTTTTAAAGCATTTAACCACAGGTGAAATATAAATCTTAGTTTTATCAGAATTTACGGTTAAAATTTGTTTTTAGTAAGTAGTTAGTGATCCATGGGGAATATAAGCTTTCTCAGTGACTTTAAGATGTTCAAGGTAGAGAAATGATGGTATTTTTTTCTGAAATTCTGGCATTACTTGTGAGTTAAGTATACAGTCTTTTTAGTGCAATAACTGATCAACGACTGACTCCATAGTAAATAATATTTATTTATAAAATGAACTTAGTAATATTGCTTGTTTTAAGTATTAAAGATTTGTATTGAGATTAATGTTATAAATTGACATATTTGATAAAGAGTTAATTTGGTTTCATTGTAGCTTAAAAAGATGTGAAAAATATGTATAACTAACACTTTATTATATTTGATAAGCACCTATTACTGTTAATAATTAATGTTAGTTTCCTGTTATGTATGAGTCTTTGGATAAACACAATCTTCAATTACATTATCTGCAGTGTAACAAGATACAGATTCTAAACAATCTGGTATTGTTACAGTTTCTATAATAACACTGCAGTATTTAATGTTGTTTTGATCAGTATTGCATTGATGATGGAATGTTATAGATTATTATGGTTCAAATGATAGCCTGTAGCATGAAATTAAAGCAAATCTTTATCTATAATATTACCCAGATGGCTAGTTATTTACAACATTTTAAAATCTATCATACTTACTACATACTGCTCTTGAAACAGAATGCATTTTCACATTCAGGCTTATATTTGCAGTGCATGCGTACCTAATTTACGCTCCAATTTTGGAATGGTTCATTTTGATACAATAGTATCAACGGATTGAATTTTATGTACATTTTGAAGATCAACAGACAATCAGACATGGCTGATAAAAACATTTAATTCTACAGATATTTGCAATTAATTGTTGTTACTATTTACTGAGATGCACACTAAAGTAATTAAAGTAATTAAGTTGCATTCTCTATGGTCACACATTGGAGGAACAAATGATCAAATCACACAAGACTTGATATTGTATAGAGCTTATGATGGACCCACCATAACTTTGATGTCAATTACAGAATTAGTTGGTATTGTATTCTATAATATTGATTAGTGATGACTCATTCCTTGTCCACAAGATACTGACAAAACCACAAACAACTAGTGGCTTGTCATTCATTGCTTCATTTCAAAACACTGTTCAATTTACAGGTGAAAAGGTCAGAAGGAGTTGTTAATTACTCTCTCTTTGACTGATAAAAAGACCTGATAGAATTGAAATAGTCTCTTATAACAATTGTTTGTTTACATGGGAAATAGAGGTAGAAATATTATTGACTTTTTAAATAATAAATATTTTAGTGATGGTAGACCAGCCATGACTAGAAATCATCAGTCCATATACATACAAATGTTCAACTTTTCACTTTTTTACTCATCATAGGGTTGAATGATTATTCATCTAGTTTATAAAATTCCAGAATTAAAACCTAGTAAATTCTGTGAGTTTAATTAGCTGAAATAACAAATACTCCCATTAACAGAATATTATTATGATTATTTATAGACTGTTACTATAGGCATTTTAGTCTTTCTTTAGAATTTTTTTTCAATTATTTTCAAACAATTTTTGTTCTTGTGTTTTAAGGAGTTGAAGAAGGAATTTTCTAACATTGTCAGTGATGATGGTCAATTTGGTCATTTAGGTTGTACATTAAACAGAGATCTTAATTGTTACTGACACGTTAAAGATCTCTGGATAGCTACAAATTTAAAAAGAGTAGGCTAATGTCACAATAATACCTTCCTTTATAGTATATTACATTGCATAAAGACCATAAAGTTTTTTTTGAAGCAGGACATATATAAGTCAATATGATATCATGATAAATAGTAAGAATTATATGACTATCTGTCTCTATTTAATATCAGCTGTAGAGTAATAATCAATAATTGTGGAATTTAGACTAGTATTAGACTGATATACTCTGATAAATATATTGTAACATATTTCTTATGATATATTTTAACTATTACACAGTAATTTATATATAACACAACATAATAATATGTTACAAGGAAATACGTTGCTAGATTTTGCTCTGAGCCAAGATTGATTTGGATAATATACTTATAGGCCTACGCTTGTAGATTGGAAAAATCTAGAAAAGGAATAAAAGTCTATTTCGACTGTGATCTCTTAAAGAGGGAATTATAAACTTAAAACGTGATCGTGTGTGAATGTCCTTCTGATTAAAATATGAAAGTATGTTTTTAACTGAACCAGATTAAATGCAGTTTTAAATGACAAATTATGTACTTTACTTATCTCCCATCACAGTATTGCAGAATTTTTGTGTAAATCTTATATGTGTGTAAAGACAAAATATAAATATCCTTAGGTAGTTGGAAAATGGCAAGTCCTGAGGGTCAATTGACTGAAAACAAAAGAAAAGTTTGAAGATTTTTGCTATTTATATAAAAGATAGAAAAGTAACAATTCTTTTCTTAATTAGCTAACTTATAAAAAAAACCTGTTATTTGTTTTATATTCTGACGTCTTGTTGTTAGGAGTTTATGTGGTTTGAGGTTGAATTCTGATTAAATAACATGAAAACTCTTAAAACACATAAAAATGAATGTACATCAGTTGCTGTGTTTATAGCAGGAAATGTTTTTGAACTAACTTTTAAAGATATATTTATTTGAATTTGAGTTCAGAAGTGGTCAGTGAAATGGCTTGATCATACTGAAGTGAGATTCAATGAATGTGATATTCTTGAATAATTATTTTTTCAGAAATTGATGTGCAGACATTGTATATTGATATTTTATATTTTCAGATTGTAGTGTCAGAAGTGAAAAAACTGAAGCAGATACCTTGGTTACCAGGCCAACCTAACATTTGAATCTAGTGTTGAAGATATTTGTTACTTGAGGAAGGTTTAAACATAAAAATCTGGAGAAACAAGCCTACAGTAGACCAGATTTGTGGTCAGTGTTTGAAAAAGAAAATAACAGTAATCTCTTAAAAAACTCTCTAATCTCCCAACAACAATTTGATAAACTCAACAAAACTGAGTTAGTCACCTTCCGCAACTCTTCAAAGAAAAATGATTTTTGTGAAGATTTAGCATACTCCTGTTTTCAGGACGGATTTCGTGACCCAAGAAAACGGTTGACGTTCGAGGACAAGAAAGAGAATAAAGATGGATGGAATGAAGAGACATTATTGAGATCCCTAAACAAAGACGGTCAAAATGGTGGAAAGATTAGAGCCGTTAATCTAGAAAAAAATACAGCCAGGTTTGTTGACGTCCAACCACATCAGAAAAACAAGATGGAGCCTCTGAAAGAATTAAACAAAGCAAATATTGATATGGTTGGTAAAGGTGAAGAAGTAGCAATAAAATTAGGACAAGATTTTCTTGATGTAGATTTACCAACTGATGCTAAAAGGAGGAGAATGAATGATGAAAACTCAGGCACATTAAGTAACAGGTAGGCAGCCATTAATTGTATAATTTGTGGTAGCATATTTAAATCTGGAGTACTTTTATTATGATCTACAACTAGAGCATCTATTTTATAAAGCAAAATTCAAATAGTAGTGGAGGTAACCCAAGTTTTATGTGAAAATGTGTGTTAAGAATTACAAATTTGATAAATATGAGAAAGTTTCCCTTTTGAAACTGTTATCAGTTGTAAGAAAGAGAAATTGTTTTGTTTACATTAATCTTGTACAGTTACATATACCTTTAATCATGTACAAATCCAAACTAATTTCCAAAGAAATTACCTCCCTTTAATTTATGAAATAAAGATGTTTGGATTGTTGATATTTCAGATCTAGTGTTTACAGTAGTCGATCAGGATCACCAAGTTTTCTAGATTTAATAGAAGATAACAGAAGTCGTAGTAGTACACCTACTGGTACTATTTCACCATGTCCACAAACTCTCTCTGAATTTAAAAAACGATACAAGAAAGACGCTCTATGGAAGTCCATCAAATCAAATTACAACTATTTGATGGATAAAGAAATCATAGAGGCATGCAAGGTGAGTAAATTTCTAAAGCAGACCTGTCTTTGTGTTGAAAATTTCAATTTTAAGAATGATAAACATTGAAGATAACACAACTATTCCTTGAAACTCAGTGAATTCTTACTGAGAGGAAATTGAAACAATTGTACATGAATAAGTACTCAAAAAACCATAATTACTGCTTAGGGAATTTGGAAGAATTTATCTTATATTACGACTTAGATATTTCAGTTTTGAAGAAATATTTTTATAGATAATTTATATAAACTTAATTCTTATATTGTTACATTTTAGCTGACTGAAAATGATCTGATGTTAGATGACCAAGATTTCGCAGGGCATCCTAAAGTTTCGTTTGCTGAATTTCTACAGCAATATCGGGAGCTCACTGATTGGTTATCTCAAGCTCAGACAGCTATGACTAAAAATATTTCCAGTTATTCCGAGAAATATTTAAATCAGGTAAGACATCCCCTGTCCATACTATATACGAGTTTTTAAATGTATCAGGTGTGAAATATAGAATTGTTTTATCAACATCTTGATAAAAATTAGAGTGGATATCTTATTTATTTACATAGTGAAAATGAAGCTATTTGTGAAAACAGTTAAATCTATTAGCATATGAATGCTATCTGTTACACATCAAACAAGTGGTCAAATTCAAGTAAAAACAGTCACTTAAAAAATTTAAGACTGAACTGATCTCTGTTTATAATGCAAATATATATTGCTTGTAATATTTCTTACTGTTGGATAAACAGAAAATGAAAGTAAATTTTCATCAATCTTTCAGTCATACCATGAAGAAATGTTAGAGAGATGTCCTAGAAGACAGATGTTTAATGATTACGCTAAACAACTAGAACTACGATATCCTGATATGAGTGATGAAATAAACGCTCGTCTCCAGTTCCTCAATAATCAATGGGAGGCCGTAGAGAAAGCCATAGCTACCAAAAACACCAAATCAGACCGCAAAACAATGATGAGAGGTAAGCTTCTTTATCCTTTTCACTAGATGTCAAATTATGCATCAAATTTCACCTTATTTATATGATAAGAAAGTTGAAAAAATCTTCCATTTTCAAATTATAGGAAATAATCATCACAAGTTGTGACATATTTTTGCAATCTTTCGATTTTGATTTCATAAAATTGTGTCTTGTGTTTTTCAAACAAAGAATGTTTAAATCTCAATCATGATTAAAAAAAACAGATAACTTTTAAATAAATTGCTCAAATTATATGTGTCTACTACTACAAATTTCAGAATTACGCAAGTGTAAGTATATCTATTCTTGCAGGTGGCAGAAATGATTCTGCTTTATTATTGATCCAAGGGAGAAAACTCTGATTAAGTCATCTCTCTGTTTATTTCTGTCTTCCACCTCTTTTGTGAAGGGGCGTGTTTTTCAACCTCATTATCATCTGTGAAAGAGATTCCGAGCCTAATTCTTACAGTTTGCCATGCTTATTCCCTGCTTTTCTAGAAATAAACAAAGCTTTGCTTGCTATGGGTTTTGGTTTTATTAATTTTCTTCTATGAACTAAAATTTGATCACATATGAAAAGATAAAAAGTTTGCCTGGTAAAAGGTTAAGAGTTGGGCTTGGCATTTCAATGATATCATTAACATCACTCATTAACCACTGTTGATATTGACAATCTAAATATCATTATTCTACTTTAATCTAATACTTAAAATAATAAAATAATACTTGATTCTACTAATTCAACATAACAAAAATTCTATTTTACTCAAAAAACATTAATGATCCAATTTTTTTGCAATGATAAATTGTTCTTTTATGTTCCATCCCATATCATATTCACAAATTTCATTTTATAAAAATAACATTTCACATTTCATCCCATTTTCATCCTAAATATGTCAAACCATTTTACTTTTACTCATCCAAATTTCATCCTAAAGATGTCAAACCATTTTACTTGTACTCATCCCATTTTCATCCTAAATATGTCAAACCATTTTATTTTCTCTCATCCCAATTTCTATTATTTATTGTTTATTTCTTAGTTTATAGGAAAGTGTCTTAAATTTTAAAACATGAATATATTATGATATTTTTCAGATCTTGAAAGTGATTTGAACAGTCTACGACAATCATTAAATGCTATTGAACAGAGACTAGTATCTCTTACTGTACATCCTGATTGGACTGTTGATATTATTGAAACTAAACTTCGTGAACATCAGGTTAGTACTTTATAACCATACTAATATTCTTAGATATATTATTATTAAATTACATAATAAATGGTCATGTGCCTTACAGATAGATTGTTTACCTAAACCACATTCAATGAAAGGTATGTAATATCTTAAAACTGTCATTGCACAGGGTAAAATTTTTAAAAGTGTATTTGATTAGAATGTCGTTTGGTCCATAGAAATATAAAGTTCAGGAATAACACAGTCAAATGACACATTTTAAACTTATGTATTATTCATGCTAATGACTCTTTGAAGTTTTCTTCAACCCAAAGACAATCTCAACACTCAGTACTAGTTCAGAGTTGACATTTCAATTATCATAAATGAAAAACAAAAGGGAAGTAATTTTGAATCCGGGGCTAAACAATAGGCATTGGTTGTATTAGATATAGTTCATTTAAAAAAACAAACCAAAAATAAAAGAAACATCTTCCAACAACACATATTGAAATTTATTTACACTTTGTAAACTAAAGCGAAAGCTGACAAATTAAAATCACAGTAATGACACGACAATGTAGAGATACACAGTATGAAACTTTTGAACATGCACTCACAGTCTTGTTGGCATTTTCAGTTTTGTATCTTATAACAAACTTTGAATCACACAACCATGCATACAAGTCATGTGAAGAATAATGGGACACAACTCTGTCTTAACTCGAAATTATGATCACAACTAGCCCTTACCATCCCTAGCTGACCTCAAGTCTATCAGTGTCAAGTTAAAAAAGAATTTCTGTCTCTTACCACAAGTAAAAGATTTTTGCCTACACCACAATTACGTAAAAAACATGTAATGCTTTAAGTGCATCTGCTTGCCATGTTGACATTAAAAGATACTGAAGTAGACAGGAAATTGCCATGTGAATTCCCTTGTGTTTCTTGTGTAAGTGTGTGATTATTAGACATTTTCTCCATTACTGATTGATTGTAAGATTTCTTTCTATAAGTTATTAACTATGGTATTTACTCAATATTATGTTATATGCTGTCATAGAAACATTTTTTTTTCAGTCATTTCAAAAATCTTCATGATATAATTTTCCATAGAATGTCCCCTAGTTCCCTAATAATATGAAGTTTTGGTACTTGTACATTGCAAATAGCCTAGTTTTTCTTCACGAAATGGTGTATGAAAATGACCCACATTTTTTGAAAAAGTCTTATGAGACATTGAACATGTATTAAAAATATTATTTAGCATTTTCATCAACCTAAGGAAACACATAGAGCTTCAGTACTATTTTGAAGCTGAAAAACTAGGAAAATGTGATTTAAACCAAGATGATTTAAGAGCTCATCAGAGAGTTTTCAGAAAATGAAACAGATTCTAAACTTAATATTTGTAAATATTGAGGATTGTTAAAATGACAATCGTTTGAACAATTTTCAAATAATCTCCCTTACATTTAACACTTAGAAAGAACAAAACAACTTGAAATAACAATACAAGTATTAAATTCCTTTGTTTGACAAAATTCTTTGTTCAAAGAATAGCTGAAGTGTGTGTGTGTTGTAGTGGTGAAATTTGATTAAGTGATTATGGTCTGTAAGCTCCGGGGAATAGTGTTCCTGACCCAGGCTCCTCTTTCAGTTAATCATTCTCCTTCATATTAATTCTACTCATCAGAGGCTGGTTCAATCTCTCTAGTCTTTATCACTGTGTTGTGACAGATTTCAGATTAATACATGAAAAATGAAGTTAATTTGTAGACTGATAACACAAACCAGCCAAATTCTAAATTGATTTATGCTTTTGTCATGTAAAGCCCAAATCTTTCCACATCTAATGCTTTAACAGGAATTTTTTCTTTAATTTTTTTTTATTGCAATATTTTGCAATATTTCACAATTTCTCAAAATGTGGTAGATATATATTGAGAGCACATTCATGATTCCAAGATTAAAGACATAATGTAGGCCTTCTGTAAATTGGAATTTGTCTTGACCAATAAGAATTGCCAGTGATTTGAAAAATATTGGAATATTTCGTTCAATATTTCCATTGTTAAAATAGTGCTCAATACATGAATTGTAGAGCGATATTGAAATTTGAAATAGGACTTGAATAACATGTTTCACGCTCTATTTGGATATTGCTAATTAGTTTAATATAATATGTAATGTAACAGTACATGTATGTTATATACAACGAACCCATGTTATACCGGATATGTATGTTATAGGAGTAGTAAAAGTAAAGAACAAAGGGAAAGTGAAAGTAGTAAATCAATAGAATATTTTAACTCTTATATTTTATTCTACTCACACTATAATTACCTGTAATAAAAATCTTGTATGAAAATCAACCAATAAAAACTGTTGAACAAGGCAAGTTGAAAGGGTTTTAATCATTAATTACTAAGTTCTAAAAGAAAGAGAGGAACAAAGTGTTTTCCTGCGTTGCTAATGAAACATATTTTATTTGTAATGTCATACAGTCTACAATTATTGATTCTTTTCTCATCTTTGTGTTCACACACTTGTGACGTCTGATGCATATGTTGCCTTTCAGTTGTCAGGATGTTGTATGAAACGTGTTAAAAAATGAAGCAATAATAAAATTGGTTCAACTATTGATTGATGTTAAAATATTAATTTCTTTTTACTGTAAAATATTATTCTAGATAAAAAAAAAATGAAATGTAAAAAAGAAGTGAAAGAGAATATATTAAAATGCGAATTTCACGATTTTGCTGAAAATCACTTAATACATAAATACCACTAAGGAAATACACCATTAAGTTTCATGCTCTCTTGATAGAAAAGAAATATTAAAAAAGAAATTCATATTAAACCTCCTTAATGTCCAATTTGACTGCTTGATAACCAAGACTAATATGAGCAATTATAAATAGGGAAATAAACTTTTTTACTCTGAAGACTAAATGGCTAAGATTTTGTACAATATAGAATGGTTTAAAAAAATATCAAGGTAATTTATGCATTGACCTTTTTATGTCATAAATTTGATTTCAAATCTATTCAGGATAGCTACTTTAAGTAAACAATACTTACATATTAATGATGAATAAGTTGAATATTGATCAGATATCAGTGTACAACCATGATGAACTGTTAATCATTCTGTAGAATAATTCAGATAAATTGAAAACAGCTGATATTATCCTTATAGAGATCACAATATTGTATTACTCCATTTACACTTTACTACAGTAGTTGATGTTAAATTTGAATAATAGTAATTGAAATATTGGTAATTCAAAATGGAGAAACTTTGATCGAACTTGATTCCATATATTTTTTTTTCTTTCCTATAATCCTTGAAAATTTTAGCCGGAGCACACAATAGTAGATCGGTATTTTGTAATCCAAAATCTGAATTTACCTAATACTGTATTTGTATAATCCTTAAATCACTAAAGGTCTAAACCCCTGAATCACTGCTTGCCTATATTGGATAGTCTTATATAACTTATCGTACATAAAGCGTTTTTTGCTTCATTTGATAAAAGTAAGCATCTCTGTTGTCATTTAGTCACCAGGATAGTATCTTGTGACTAATTGTTGGAATTCTCCATTTTATACCCTTACTCATCATAATTAATATAACTTACTCATTTATTACATCATTGAATATTATTACAGTATTGGTAGACAAACCATCTAAATCTCTCGCTACCACACACTGTTTTCTGATCGGTAATTTCTGATAAAATGATGAAAGTTATAAAGTAAGTCTGTACTAGTCAACCCGTATTAAGTCATTAGTGTTATTGATGGTATAAAAAATAATTAGTAAGTAACAATAGGTAGAACTAATATTAGATAAGTACCGTGATATAGCATCATCAATTATTGATAAAAATATTGATGATTTAAAGGTTATTTGAGTTAGCATGGCATAATTAAATTGTCTTGATGTAGTGTTGAAGACTTGCAGTACTCTATAGTCATTTCTTTTTGTATATCCTGATTCCATTCAAAATACTAACAACAATCCATTACCTATCGGATAGTTAGTAATAATGAGCATAATAAATCTGACTTGTATATTTTCAATAACTATTAATTCTATTCTAAAATAAAATAGACTGTTTATTTTTATACACCCACATCTCTCTATGTGGACGTATATTGTCTTTCAGTCCGTCCATCTGTCAACATTTGCTTGTAAACACTCTAAAAACTAGATTTTTTGATGGAATTAAATGAAATTCGGTATGTGTATACATATTCATAAAAGGAAGATCAAATTCGAGTTTTAGCTATTTTCGACCTTTAGAAGCAGAGTTATTGCCCTTGCCTCAAAATCTTGAATATGCTATAACTCTTTTAGTTTTCAACCGATTTTGATGAAACTTAAAATGGATGTTATTGGACCTAAACTTAAAGGTTTGAGAAGGTTTAGTTTACTTCTGATTAGATTTAAGGCTTTTTCAAGATTTAGGCCTCTTACGTCAGTTTTGAGGAGTTATCGCCCTTTAACCTCTATACAGTAAGTGCTTCTATCAACATCAATTGCTTGTAAACACTCTAAAAACTAGAGTGTTTGAAGGAATCAAATGAAATTAGGTATGTGTATACATATTCATAAAACGAAGATCAAATTCGAATTTGATTTATTATTGACCTTTAGAAGCAGAGTTATTGCCCTTGCCCCAAAATCTTGAATATTTACCATCCCCATGCCGCGGCTGTGGTCCACATTTTTTAAGTATTAAAGGTATGGTTAATATAACCCTGTCAAAACAAATAATATTGTACTATGTCAAGCTAATACAACTTCTTCAAACTTTGACATCTTTAGGCACTTCTTCTTTCATGAAGCAGTGATTTGATTAGATTTTGCACTTGCAAATACAGTTAATTAAAGCCTTCTACAGACAGACTGTAAACATTGTTGTTCTGTCTAGTGTTTTGATTGGTTGTATTTGAATGTGTTCAATCCATTCAAATTGTTGCATTTATCAAGATGGGATATTTCAAAATGTACTTATAAATTAATACATGATATATGTTGCCAAGCACTTAACTTTGAGCTAATTAGAACAGACAAAGAAATTGTGCAAACTGAAGAAAATTTTACCATGACAATAATTCCTAGTTGTCTTGGATTCTTATGAATAGGAATTTCTCACATGACCATATTGGTTTTTTCTATCCTTTGAAAAAATCAGACTGTGTAACCTAGGTGAATTGCTTGATATAAGCCTTTTCTAATTTTTTTTTGCAATGAATACAGTAATGAACTTGAAGACCAGAAAATCAATATAGAAAGAAAAGTTTTCAATGTAATTTGATAATAGTAAGAGTACTATATTATTGATTGTAATAGTAAAGTTAAGTTCAAGTACTATTATACACCTGTTTTTATCATTGATTATATTGATTGGACATCCTCTTAACAATACATAATCTTCTGTAGAAACAATAGATAAACTGCTGATTTAGCATACCATACTTGTACAAATACTATAATTGATTCTTAGCATGCTAAATAAACATCTTTATAATGATTTTATTAATGTTCTTTAATAGATAATGGGGGAGGCTTTTTTTTATATTGTTGAGATTCAGTCAAATACTTAGTGTGATTTTGTTATTTTGAATGAACTTAGTTGGAAATCGATAAAGAAAAGGCTAATTCTGCTGTCTGTGCAAAATTTCCCTCATTGCACTCTGCATAGCATTGATCATTTTGATTAGCCCATTGGGTGCAGAAAAGTAGGACTTAAAACCTTTTTTATTTAATTTTTATGTTGAAAGAAACTTGTTCTATTACAAGATAAGCATTAGAATTCAGTTTATATTTCATAGATTAACCTTCCAGTTATAACTTCCTGTTATACCAACACGTGGTCAGGTGAAGTTAGAGAACAATGTGCACCAATAAAATCTCTTGATGTAACAGATGTAGATATTATAATAAATTATTCCAATTTCAATTTATAGCTTTCTTCACGGTAACGTGGCTAATGATATTGTCAATAATCTAGTAATATATTTTATGGTCTACTGAATTTAAACATGAATCGTGAATTCTGTAGACTTATGAAGCACAGCGCACTATTTAGTTATAAGAACGCAGCTATTTATAATGTTTTTTAAGAAGGCTATGTGTCTTACAAAGAAAAGAAACCCTGTCTAAATTTTTAACATTTTAATTATTTTGAATCTCCTTAAAGTTTCTCATTTCCTTGATCTAAGGTAAAATTATTTTATACACTGATGGTAGATGATTATTTATCATACACTGATGGTAAATGATTATTTATCATACATTGATGGTACATTATTATTTATCATGCACTAAGGGAGTTCTGGATAAAAATTATTATTTTGTCTAAGTCTTCTGTTAGCCAGCTAATTACATCAAAAGGTAGTGTCATAACCATCTGAACTGATGTCATTCTGTTGTTTAAACATTTCTATTTAGTTAAATACAAATACTGTCAACATTGAATTATTTACTTTTCTTGTTACCTTACTAATTTTTGTTAGTATTTATCTTATTTCTACCCTGGACTAGTTATTTATAGTCATTTGGAGGAAATGTCCGCGACCTTACTATACATGGCTTTAATCCAGAAAGGAAATGTACTAATTCACATGTTGTTCTTTATCCTCACCAATAATAATAAGTCTTTAGTAACTATATAGGGAAAAAGATTTTAGTGAATTGACAATGCTATTCCTACCTTCAACTGTAGGGTTGTTTTTATTACGATGCACTAACTCACTAACCTGAATGTCTAGAATTCAATACCAGCATAGGTTGAGAATTTTAAACCCCGTTTTTACTCTCAGTGATTCATACAGGGGTTCATACAGAAAAATGGTATAGTTGTTAGGATGGGACAATAAACCAGCCCCTTCTGCTACTATCCGTGCACGTTAAAGATCTCTCGATAGTTGGACATTTTTATACGCCCACATTTAAGATGGGCGTATATTGTAATCACCCCGTCGGTCCGTCCGTTCACATTTGGCTCGTGCTCACTCTACAGGCTACAGTTCTTTATGGATTCTTTTGATTTTTATTTTGTATGTCAATGTTGTTATGAAAATGATCCCTATTGATTTTCGTGATGATCGGATAATTTTTCACCGAAATATGGTGTCTGACTTGACGTTTTTCTCTATTAGTTATATTGTGCAACTCGTGCTCACTCTACAGGCTACAATTTTTTACAGATTCTTTTGATTTTTATTTTGTGTGTCAATGTCATTATGAAGATGATCCCTATTGATTTTCGTGATAATCGGATAATTTTTCACCGAAATATCATGTCTGACTTGACGTTTTACTCTATTAGCTATATTGTGCAACTCGTGCTCACTCTACAGGCTACAATTCTTTACAGATTCTTTTGATTTTTATTTTGTGTGTCAATGTCATTATGAAGATGATCCCTATTGATTTTCGTGATGATCGGATAATTTTTCACCGAAATATCGTGTCTGACCTGACGTTTTACTCTATTAGCTATATTGTGCAACTCGTGCTCACTCTACAGGCTACAATTGTTTACAGATTC